TTAATCGACCATTCTAAAGGATTACGCCTCTTTCTTTGTAAATTGATCAGGTTTGGCTACCTCCATCGAACATTATTCACATAAATATATTCTTTTATTCAATTGTGAATAACAGGGGAACACACATAATTGAAAATATTTCGCTTTTTGAATCTAATAAGATTGTTTTGAGTTTAAACGCCTTCGCCATTACCTAGGCTATATGGAGCAATAAGCTGAATTAAGAATAGTACGGAAGCCTGAGTAGACCGATTAGAAAAAGAAAGCACTACGGCAAGGTGTCGCAATGGGGACCGTAAATCAGTTTTAGTAACTTCAATATCCCCTTAGTAGCAGACACGAAATAAAATACCTGATTCTGTAATAGCAGTTGGGTCCATCTGGGATAGGGGACAGAAATATTTCGTATTTAAAGGAATTTCTTGTTCATCAGGAGACTTTTTATTTTAAAAAATTAGGATTCAATAATCATTTATTCGGATGGGAATTAAGTCTTTGTACCAAAATCAAGGAAAAAATCAACATTAGAAAAAAAAGAAATGTTTCAACATTTTTCTTATCTGAAAATATAGATGCTACCTTTTATAATTTAAATTTTACATGTAATTTAAGTTCTAGAAATAAATTGAATTTTTATAGTTACTTATAGATAAATGTCACTTTACGGATATAAGAACCATTTATATAGTTAAGACAATTGAAATACCACTCAGAAAGATATGTTTAATTCATCCGTGCAGTCTATATATGTACATTTACGTCATGTTCACTGTGTGAAACAATCTGTTCTGAATTTAATATGACTATATAGTACACGTTGCGAGGCCATAGTACAAAATATAGTGATAGTTACCGAAAGACTCATGGAGAGGATATACCCTACTTTGACGTGAAATGAGGTTCTTTGCTAACACAAGACAAAACTATATCTATGTTGATAACTGTGAATTAATTAGTTGTCGAACTTCTTAGAACAAAACATAAGCTAAACCCGCTTAGAACCATGACATGATACATAGCATTAATGTCCAATGCTAAAATTTATTCTCTGTGTTTGCCCTCATCTGACTGGCCAATACCTCGCTCTTGGTATTTGAATCCACGTATAAAAGGTACCTACGAAATCTATGAAAATAAATTACTCACGAAAATTAATTATTTTACAGTATATGTTTAAGTTTTTCTATTGATATTTAAAAAAAATCACACATGCTCTTCGTTTTGCTACGTACGATCACAAATACAACGAAACTTGGGCTCACTTTTGTGACTTGTAATTATAGAATTTGGCAATGACTATACTGCGATTACATCATCTTTGATATAACTACGTGTACTCATAAATCATTGACATTAATTTTATTAAAAATCATCATGAACACGTCGAAACTGTTCCGTGAATCGGAAACGAAGTTCATATAAATGCCATATCATCTCTACATTATACGATTCCAGGAGTGATCGTTTGATGTGGCTTCATTAGTTTGGTGAGTCGAGTGAGTGCAATATATCGAACATGTCAAAAATGGACAATCCAATGCGCATGGATAATCCTCTTCGAAACGTTTGATCCGTTAGAGAAGAACAAAAACTAAGAAACATTCACGAAGCATAAAGAAAGCATGACAACTGTTTACTTTGCTTAGATGAATAATATAACATAAGTAGATTATGGTTTTTGTATCTTAACCTATACATATTGTCGAAGAACATGGATGCTATCGATTTTCTAAATATATTTGGTAACGATCAGTGATTATAAATAGGATTTAGTTTTTTTTAGTGAAATTTCCGCACGAAATGTTATTCATCGTTAAAGTATGGAATATCCTGGATGTGTGTGGATGTTAGAAATGTCAGCTGCATTTTTATCGTCAATATCTTTGTAAAATTATTCCCGTGTTAGTCTGCATCAAATGTTTGTAATCCTTTGACACAACTTTGATATGCTGATCTGTTGTCATTCTTACTCTGTGTGAATGTCATGCGGAAATGTCAGACAGATCAGTTTAAAAGTTACCATTTCTTATGGAAAACAGTGTTTTTTCTTTTTTGCATTCACTGTGTTGTAAATAATTTCCACACTTGTAATGATATCATAGCAACTTTGACGTCATGGTTATTGTCTGGCATTTATTGCTTGTATGAAAAATATCCAATTTTTTTCAGTGCATGCATAAAATGTCAAGATCTGTTATTGCTTTAAAACGAATGATTGTGAATTAGAATATTATAGACGTTTCGCAACGTCATTCTCGCTAAAATGAGAATTCATGTAGTATCTGATTTTCTTGTTTAGTTTGTTTTTGTTGCAAAGAAACATTCGTGAGGAATCGGAATTAATGATTTTATACCTACTGAGATGGACATAAAATCAAACATTAATCTACAACCTTAATAACTAAGTCGTTAGCCGTCATCAGCGACGAGCCGGTGACGCTTCCGGAACCGATGGTCTTATTTTCATTTTTCTTTTTAGAGGTTTACATGACAATATAGCTTTATCTATGCATATCAAGCAAAGTGAGTGTCGTCGATGAAGCAGGAGACTGATTCTTCCGCATCAAATGCTCTTATTCTTCTTATGCATTTTCAGTAGTCTCCTTGAAAGGAATTCTTTTGTTCATGTTTTGCCTTAGTTTCATCAAAGGAGGGTTCAAATGATGCCACTTGTGGTTTTTTTGTTTGGTTATGTATGGTGTATACCAACATTGTCTATACACAGTATATAAAAAATATGTACATGTAGACATGTACAACCACGTCATAGAATACAAAAGGTCAAAGGTCGTGTCTCCGGGTCTCGATTTTTTTCTGATAGCCATGCGTTTCAGGAGATGAAGGTGCGTATCATAAGTTTACAGATTCGTAGAAGAATTCATAAATAATTTACTGTCTACAGATAATGCAGATTTGATTATTTGGGATCGAGATCCTCTACAGGTGTAGTATGTTTAAATGTACTCTAAGTTTGTGGTGTTTGTAGCTGGTTTGTAACTATGTAGGGCTAGTTTCTATTGATCTTTATTGACTCGTAGTTCGGTGAGAAATAGGATATTCAGTACAAGGCCGTATCACATTCAAGTGTTGATTTGAAACATCTGATTTAACTTATGGTAAATTAAACGATTTAGCTTACAGTATTTACCAAATGAAAGCAACTGTGCTGTAAAATCGTTAGAACTGACAACACAATGTCTAAGCATTAAAAAAAATCGACAAGACCGAAATTACTCTTGTGCAATGGACTTAAAAGAACAAAGAGTAATGCCAAAGAGAATTACACAGAACAGTCATTTACCTTAACACCAGGAGAGAAACAGGTCTGTAAATGTTCTATGTAATCTCTCGTCTCGGGACAATCATCATCTGTGATGATGTAGCGCGTATACAGGCATCGTTTTTCCTGTAGGATTAATCTGTTTCTAATTAAATTGTTGTCGATAGCCACACGAGTTAAAATGCATTGACACATGACAACCAACTTTTAATTAACATTCAACTCACTTGGTAAACGATTGTATAAACATCACAGGTCGTTTTAAAGCGCAGGGATGACTGATTTCAGCTCTGTTGGATGCGTGTGTTATGCTCTAGCTTGTAAAGTATCAGTAGAGAGGTCTATTTGATAAATACATGTTGTAACAGTTTTATATTTGTCAATGACTGTTAAAAGTTGGGTATTTTTGTATGTAAACGATTGTATCAGAGAAGTCTATTTGATATACTTCTGTTATTGTAGTTTTATATTCGTCTCTGGAACTGTAAATCAGGAACGGATCAGTGTTAACCAGTTCTTCACCGATATCCAGATTTAGTGGAATACAAGCGCTGTGCAAAGAGTAACAAGAAAATCAAGATACATATGGCTTACCATGATAAGCGTCGGAGCTACGCAGATCCATTTTCCATTTGCCAAAGTTTATGACGTCTGAATCAGATAAGCGCTTAAGCAGGTTCTGTGTTCCTTACAATTATCTGTTATTCGTACGACACATGATTCTACACTGAATTACGACTCGACGGGGCGGTACTATATCGCGATGTAGAAAATAAATGTATATTGTCTGAACCAGGTTGTTGTCAGGGATCAGGAGGAATGCCATCCTTGTACAGATTTATCTAAATAACTACGGAGTCTGCTACATTTTATGTCATTTTTATCCCTTATTCTGTATGCGGAAATCTCCGTCCGGAAACCTGGCGCAAGGTGAGAGCCGTTGTTTTGTGCTTTTAGAAGGTCCAATGCATTTAAGGGCCTCATAGACAAGGCAGGATTTTGTCACGTCTATCTACAGATCTTGGTAGAGGCGGCTTCCTCTTACTTATCTGTTTCTCACCACTTTGATGTGGACCCGGGTGATCTTTGGTTTATTGGTGCTTCTGGTCATGGTTCTGACCAACTCCCTACTCCCTATTATCATTTGATAATTTGATAACTAGATGAGTGGTCACATTTTATTTGTTCCTGGGAGTTGACTTTTATTATATATGCGCATCCTCTGTAAGGATCGTTTTCTGAAGTTCAATTGTATTGATGTCATTAGGTCAAATGTGTGATACGACTCCCTCCCCTTTTTTTCATTTGCCATAATTCCAGATTTTTCGTGTTACGAAATATCTGTTTTTGACAAAAAATTGAATTTACGACTGCTTGTTAACGTGTTCGGAAATCTGACTGTAAACCTATATCTTGTCTTCTGATGTAAATAAAAAATGAATGTGTTCTGCAAATAAAAATTAGAAAAGTCGTGGGAACCACAATATCTTTTCTGATTAAAGTCAGTCGTGCCTTCTCTGTCCCACAATGGAAGAATTGCTGACAGCCTCGACATTTATATTATCTTTAGGGGTTTACATATATACAGCATCAATCAATCGACCTTCAAATAAATGTAATAGATTTGTGTTTGTAAATTATAAATCTGTAGAAAACACATGATAAAGTTGGCATTTGAAAAAAAAAAAGTTCTTATTTCACGTCATCATTATTGCTCAAAATGGTTCAAAATGAAGGTAAATCACAATTTTTTTTCTGAATAAATCACTACAAATACGTGTCCCGCAATTTCTTTTAAATCATTTCTTTATTTCTCGTCATATCGTTGTAACTAAAATTTCTTTCGTAACGATGCTATTGAATGTACCGTTAGTTATTTGGTTAACACTCTATACATAGAGCTGCATATTTCAATCAGCTGACTTCATCCCCGAATTGGAAAAATATTTTAACAAGTTCTAACGTGGGAACAAGTAAGTTTATGTATGAGAATATCAAGTATTGATATTCCAGTGTTTCGTTGAATTCAAATTCAGTTCTGTCCGAACTTTTGTATTTTCTTGCATTAAGTATGGATTATTCGGCCAAGTTTGGTGGTTAAATCTTCCTACACTACTTATTGCAACTCCTGGGAATAAACATTTATCGTTTACCAGCTGACTTGATTTTATTATCATTGTGGACGGAGATCCTATCAAAGCAGGTCACAAACACCTTCCAAAGTCCTTAAATTTCACTTTTAAAATGCTCATACTGTCTTGTCTTTTAGCATTCACTGATTATACCAAATAAAATATAGGACATTATAGACTCTTCCACCTACAAAAAAGCCAGCAGCAACTACTTTCAACAGAACGCGATGATAAGCGTGATACTTTCGCTTTGCATTTTTTATATAGTAACTCTCCTGTTCCTCGGACTTTTGTTTTCTCTTCATGATGTGGTGTTACAATGTCGTGGTTTATTCTGCATCATCTGTTACATTCGTAATATCATTGTTTTCATTCAGGATGTCGACAGGTGATAGTTAAAACGCATGATCTGCTGTTTTCTCGTGCCATTTGAAGCCAGATATGTTCGGTAGCTGGCTTGGTAATTTCGTTGTTCTGACAATGGCGTCCCAGTTTTTCCTATTTTTATATTATGTTATTATCCCACTTTTTTCTAGTTCATGATTTGCCAGTTTTTCATCTATATCGAATTTTTAATAATCATCCGTTGAAATGTCGGTACTTTCTGGGTTTCTTTTATGACGAATGCATTTGAAATAAAAATTTGACCTGTTGGTTATTTTTTAGTTTACTTTCTTCACTTGTTTATCATCTATTTGTATAAGACGACAATTCTGGGATTTTTTTTCTCTATTTCATAGAATCCGAGATAAATGGTAAAGTAAAGACGTCTTCTAAACCCACTTCCACCTTCTGTAACAAGCTCTTATTTCCTTCCTCCTGTCGACTCTTCCAATATGACGAATCCTTTATCCTAGGCTTTGACATGTCGCAAGCACCAATATAACCGTTTGCGATGCCATGCTGAAGAAATCTTTGTCATCTGAGCAATTGCTTCAAAGCTAATTACTACAATTTTGAAAACGGACTGCCAAGCATCTCGTTGACATAGTGCAATTCACATGAACGGTTTTTATATTTGCTTCCTTTTAAGACAACTTAATAAAGGTTTGATTCAATAGTTTTCTAAATGGTGTTCATAACTGTTTCATATATCCCAATATAATGCTATATTTCTTAAAAAAAAAGTAAGATGTTTTACATCCATATGCATGTTTATTCAGAAGATATGCAGGACAATATTTTCTTTTACAAAAGTGCATACAAGAAATAAACCGTCATTTTTCTTCCGTATCGATTACATTCATGTATTGGTGTTTTATTGGGAATCCGTGGCTATGTATCAGAAACTGTGATACCATAGCCTCCAATTAATTCCCAATTTTTGAAACAATGCCTGTAGGACTATAGCCAAGCCTGACGTGTCTGATGGTGAAGTAGATTACTGGGAGCAATAATTCCTTTTCCCGAGTCGTCCTGTCAAAATCTTTCTAGATGTTTCAGTCCTTAATTCTAATATATGGTAAGGAAACACTGTCAGTAAACCCGTTTATATCGCTCGCTCGTTGTTATAACGCTGTTTTGTCTACGCTTACAAATACCAAGAGCCTGTAGACTCTTATTTGCCGTATAAAAGGAACACTAACTGCCATACGTTATACAAACGTTAATGTTTTCCTTTTAAGAGAAATCGGTGAGAAAATGATAAAGATTTTTTAAGTTTGTTTTAGATAGGCATTCTTTTTTTTAATTGTGTATCCATGACGCCAATTAAACCGGGTAGATGTCATGTTAGTTCACTCAATAATAAAAATTGGCCAAAATAGATGTAATATATATATATCTGGAGGGGCTCTTGTCACCGGTTTCAATAGATTTCATTATTTTTTGATAGCAGATGATTTCGGAGGAAAGTAAATAAAAACACGCTGACATCTTCATACCGATAAAATTTACGTTTATAATCAGAAGGTAGATACATACGAATACCTAATGAAGTCTCTTGCTTTTGATAAAAAAAGGACTAAGAAAGCTGCAATTCAAATCAAACATAATATCCATACTTAACTATAATCCATAAATTAAAAACATCAAGAAAATACCAACATGACAACATAATCATAATCCAAACTAAAATTCCATAAAACTAGGGCAAAATATAAACAAAAGAAAGATTTACACGCAGATTCCTGAAAATAAGTACAAGGACAATAAGATAAGGTATTTCGGAAGAGTAAGCGTATTCTGCTTCAACGACGACACTCGCCATGCGAACCTTGGTCAGTCCAAGTAAGTAAGAAATGGTCGACTTCCTCTGTGGATTTTAACGAATTATTGATAAAGCCACGATATTTTGATTAATGAATAGGTTTTCCCGTCCAACAGCTCTCCTATAATTGTTCACTTTAGATTGAATAATTTTAAGATTTAAATGTAAATTTTCTTTAGATTTTCTTTATTCGCCTTTTAGGCTTCTCACTTTAGACCCTTAGCCTCACTAACATCACTGACGAGTTCTAGAACGACGAATCAGCTGTATGATGTAGTTTATTTCCTTTGCTTGGCTCTACTCTATCTAACTCTAATTTTTTCTATCTTTTAAACAATCTGTTCAACTAAACGTGCTGTGTCGATCACTATACATACAAAGTCTTCTTCTTATTTTATTTTGACTTGTACCTGAGAACGGGATATTTTGATTTTATCACCAATCGCGTTTTCCAATATTGCGCAGTCTCGTACCTTTTGTCAAATATCGATGATATACATTTTAATATTTGATATCGATGTCAAGCTCATTTTCACATAATACAATAAATAATTTTTGATCTTATTGTAACTTGTTCGAATATGTTAAATCAGTTTCCGGTTGGTATACTTTGAAAATCTTTAATCATACAGAGACACGGTCGTTATGTTTAGCAAATGACTGTAATGCTTAGATGTCTCCTAGAATTCGACATTGTTTTTAAGACATTTAAACATCAAAATCTTAAAACGTTGGGGTATATATATTTTAGTTTACAATGATGATAACACATCTTCCGACATAAATGTAACTTTTGTTTTACATCAGCTAGAATTAAAACGTATTTGCTGATCACCGCAATCGCCTTCTAACTTGTCAATTTATGAAAGTCGAGTGGAAGCTATTAACATCACCAATATTTGACACCAGAAGTCTGTTCAAGCTTACAGTCCAACATACTTTCATAGCAGACATGCCCATGTAATTTCCTACAGTTATTCAAAGCCCATTGCGTCCAAACTTTTCAACTACAAACAAGCAGTAGAATGTAGATGACCTAAGAACTATTACTCCGTCAGCTTTTTCTTGTTCTACCTCTCTCGATGTCTATCTCTGTTTATAACTATGGTCCATCTTGGCACATAGGTACTGGTGCTTTAAGCATTATTCAAAATGTTAAGCTGCGAGAGCTGTTCATCAAGGGTCATAGTTATCATGATACCCCGTCCGTTCATTGGAATATGAATTTCAATATACTTATGGAATCCGTGGAAGACTATTCAAGAAAATGAGTGAAGCGAGGAAATGCTGAGTTAACCCATCTTCAACACCCTCTTCTAAAAACTTCTTTAAGAACATTTGACTTTTCAACTTGTTCTCTTGTTATAAGAGCTTTCTTTTACCAGAGAGGTAAACGGCGGTATGGTTGTGAACTTTATTGGAAATTATTTCGTGTAAAAAAATGTCGGAATCTAGATACATATATAATAAAAACGATCGAGTTTCTGGTTAACAACATTCAAGTCGATTTTGCTGGTGAGATCTTTCAACAGAATATTGGTATACTGTGCCTCTCTGTTATTTTTGATTTCATACAAGACTGAATTTATCGACGATTACAAATACCTTGCAATGTTCTTACTTTCGCCTTCTGATATATTGATGACGTCTTGTCTTTAAATAGCTAGAAATCTATGACCACGTCCATCGTATATACACACCACAATTGGAAACCAAGGACACGACAGACTTATAAACATGAGCCGCTGATCTCGATCTCTTTCTACAATAAAACCAACATGGTCAGCTTTCCATAAATCTGCATAATAAACGTGATGATTTCAATTTCCCTTTTGTGTATTTTCCATTTCTGGATTGCAACATGCCTGCGTCCCAAACCTATATAGGTTACATGTCGCTGTTGATTCGAGATTCAAGGGCCTGGTCCCATTATCACGTTTTCCGTTAAATAAGTCTTCAACTGACGGACAAACTCGTAACACAGGGTTTTAAAAGATGAAAGTCACGATAGGTTTATAGAAAATATACTGAAGTTGTACTGTCGTTATAGTAATATCAATGAGAAACAATCCATTTCTTTGTACGATATGAAGCTAGATGCTCCTTAGGTTTCCTGCTGGTTCAGTTGTTGTATACCATTTTCTCATTTGAGAACGTGACATTACTTATTTTGATTGATTTGCATGGCCGGTGTCGTCCATGAAGCAGATAACGCTTACTCTACCGGACTTGGTCTTGTTATCCTTTAAGGGTCTCCGTGTTATTTTTCCTTTTAATCATGTTTTGCCTCAGTTTTATTGAATTGAACGTGTATTATGATGATGTTGAGATGTTACTATTTTCTTGTTTTTCATTGCTTCAAACAAGCAGAAAGTCGGATAAAAAAATGAAGGATGTAATTCATTGGTGTCAGAGAGATCCAATAACATTTCACGAGTAATTAATGAAATGTTGTCAATTTAAACCCACTCAACAGGCCCCTTGGGCTTTTCTGTATTCTTTTATTCTTTGATTTATGTCATTTCCGTTTCATTGTATCACCTCCTTCGACATCGAGTGTACCGAAATTAAAAATAATCGATGCTTGAATTGAATTTAAAATGGCCTCATTTTATTGTTGGTTTTCCATTCACAGCTCCAATAATGGCGTCGTTTATTCCAATCTGGAATGTGTAATTGCATGTAAACACTCTCTTTGAAGCGTATACAGGTATTACGGGCGTAATCTGATTATCATTTCATGTCCTTTAAAACATATTACAAAATTGTACATTGTTATTATACCAATCATTAAAATATTTTTGTAGAATAAAATATCATTAAACGTAATTAGTAAAATTATGGCCACGTCTGAATATATCTTGAGGTAGTTAATCATCTAAAATAATACAAATTTCTTTTTAGATGATTTGAAAGGGTTGAAAGTGAGCATAGCCAATTCCTGCCCTTACACCCTAACACTTTACCCACTTCCTTGCAACCCACAAGACAAGCAATGAAATCTTAAGTAGTATTTCCAACCTCGAAGCCATTTTTTTTCAATAATGAAAATCAGACTAGAAAAACGACAGCTCTTTATTTTGGATGACGTAATTATATTTTTCATCTTTTTTCAGTTCCAGGCGAGCTTTGGTCAGAATGGTGGACGTATCAGGGTATATCAGGTAGGCACATTATATTGTTTAACATTACCTACGTGTGCTGAATACAGAGTTATTTTCATCCGATGATCATAATCAAATCAACTTTAGCATTGAAATAATTCTGTCTACATCACACAGCAGTGATAGATATTTTCCCACATTTTTATCACAGTGAAATCCTTGTAATGCTGATAATTATACATGATATCAATATAAATATCACATAGCATTTGGCAAAAACGATGACGTTTTCTGCTTGTGACAGACAGTAACGCTATAAAAACGATAACACGATACTATAAATAAAGAGTGCATCATCAATTTAAAGACAGGTGTGAGATTTGTTTGTCTGGATATATAAGACAGATTTATTTTCACCAAACTAAAAGAGGAATGAATATGTGTGCTATTGGTGAACAAACACAATTAATTTCGTTTTCTAGGCAAGGGATAAAAAAGTAAGAAGTGCATCTGTAATTTCAAAATAATTATTATTGATTGCAGATCAAGTTAAACGTGATCTCTTATCTAGTAGTTTTGTCGAAATAAATTATTTAAAATTTACAAGTAAAGCTTAACTCGTTTGTGAACCAAGTGTGATGACAGACAACACATGGAAAGAAGGATTTCGGTTTTTTTCTCTCTTAGTAGTGTTTATTGTCTAAGCTTGTTTTTTAGAAGAGTGGTCGGTTGACGCAGTGATAAAACTCTCGCCTTTCAGTTCCCAGAATGGACGTGAAATATATGGATCACCTGCCCGACCGCGTGGGTTTTCCCCGGGTACTCCAGTTTCCTCCCACAAAAAGACCCTTTCCGTGACGTATAGATGTATATCTTATATCTCTTCCACACATCAACCAAATTATTGAAAACTATGGTTCTCAACGATTTAACCATTCTTGAAAATTTTGAAAAATAACTCCAAAAACAAGAAATACCAACATGTAAACACAATCCTAATCAAATTCAATAAAACAGTGGCAAAACATAAAAAATAAAAAAAAATTGGATCGAAAAAACCCGAAAAGGCATAAGAATAAAAACATGTTATCAGGGAGAGCAAGCGTTATCTGCTTCACCGACGGCACACGCAATATAAATCTTGGTCAATCCAAGTACGTAATGTCATGTTCTCAAATGAGAGCAAAGTATACAACAAAATATCCAAAAAGCAAACTAACGAGCATAAAACACAAGTCAAGCTTTATATCGAAAACATCGAAACAAGGGCTTCAAACAATGAATCTACAGAATTCTGTCCCATTTGATTCCACGTAAAAGTCAATCAACCTTTGTAGAACTGCTGTTTTAAATTCGTTATGTCAATTTCACGGAACCATGGAAAAAACTTCGAGATAACCGAGTATTCGAGTTGAGTTTGAATGTTTTGTTTAAAGTTTACTTCGAATTATACGAGTTCGACTGTATGTATGTATATTTCTTAAACACTGTCATCAACAATTGGTAGATTAAGCTTTATACTTTTTGCAGTATTCTTCAGTTCTTTTCTATGGACTGTCATTGACAATTAATTTCTTGTTTTCGAGTGTTCTGTACCTCCTTAATTTGTCGACTCCTACAGACACTGTATGATGTTTCCCTAGTTTGTAATGTGATTATCATACGTGACCTAGTGTTGCCCTTTGTCAGTATTTATCGCAAGGCCACCAAAATAGCAGATATATTGACCATGCCATGGCCAAACCCCGTCATCAGTATTTACGTTCTTGTGTGTCACTATAAATTGACCGATGGTCAACAGGTCGCGCAATTATTACTAGTCAAGTCTAAGAAAAGATGGCCCGATCCAAATAGAGAGACTTATTTGATTCTGAAAAAAAGAAAAATGTGTGACTCAGCATGCGTAACACGTATTTATGAACTGGCAGAGATTCGTTAGTCTGGATATAGAATCTTTCGAACTAACTAGACTTATGTTTGTCCTCCATCAAGACACGGTCGTAAACAAACTTTTATTTCAAATATCCGGAAATGTTTTAAAGGAAACAGGAAGTGAATGAAGGAAACCTGTTTCCAGTGACAAGACAATGCTTTTGCATTTTACAGATGGTGATAAAGATTATTTTTACTTGATGTGGATTTTTTTATTGTTGTACTCCTGAGATTTCACCTGATTTTTTTTGTTTAGTCGGTCATGCAAGATTCAAGTACCAGTACAGTTACCTATCGTTTGGTCAAGATGGGATGAAAATCTCATTTTGTTTATATTTGCTAACAAAAATCTCGTAATAAATTGAGAAGCTACATATAAGGGGCTGTCTAGGCCGACTAGTTAACATGTTTGATCTCTAGTCCTCCCACTCTGGGTATCGGGTTCGAGGCCTACGGAGAGCAATGGTCATGCACTAGCTGCTGGTCGATGCTTTTTATACGGGAACTCTGACTTTCCTCCTCCACCCAAACCTGACACGTCCTTAAATTACATAGGCTGTTGATATGACAAGAAGAAAGAATAAACCAATAAAAGATATTACTGCTTATCCAAAAATACACTGAGTGTTTGAAATGGAATTTAAAACATAAAAGAAATCAAATCCATTTATTTTTTCTTTGCTTTCCCATAAAAATAAAAAAAACCGACATGTCAACAGAATCTGAATTTAAACTCGATTTCGATAAAGCTATGGCAAACTATAAATTGAAGACAGAAAATTGGTGGAGACCTTTGAATAAGAGTAAGGAACATAAGGTCAGGTTTTTCGAAAGGATGAACGTCTTCTTCTCCGTCGATGTAAACCTTGTTGAATTTAAATATATAATGTCAGGTGTACGAATAAAAGTGTAAACAAGCAGACATACTCAGACACTTTTCGACCTTTTGTACGAATATTCTGATATTCATAGCCAGTCCTTGTATATAAAATTAACTGTGATATATAAACACCAGTTTGGGGAAGCAGGTATGTTGTTATCCAGTAATAGAATATTGAGGTTTCTTTTCATTCTTATGAAATTAAACCGAACGGATGTTGTAACTTTAAATAAACTGAAATATGAAATACGCGAGGCGGTAAGACAAAGTTTTTTTTCATATCATATCTCCGAAATATTGTTGTAAACAACAGCCTTCAAGGTAAAAACTTTAAATTGTTTAAATAATTCAAAATTGTACATAGTATTGTTTACATATCCAGACATTCACGACGCGCTTATAATATACCCCTGGTCCATGAAATACATTCTGTGAAGTAACCTTGGTATTGCATCGTCACATATGTCTTGATAATTCAATTTTAGGAAATCTATACTTACTAAGGTTAAGGAGAAATGGTTGAGAACGTTTGCCATGAAATACATCTAACTGTAGATAAAACTTGTCTCTGTGTTTTGACGTATATTTATCATAGATATAGAAGTATCCCCAGTGGGAAACAGCTGTTGGTATATACATGTTTCTCCGAGTTCAGTTGCTATAAACACAGGGAGACACTTATTCATCTTTCACGTGTCACGAAATCCTACTCCGATATAAAACAATGGCATTTTGTTGCAAATTTCAGTTCGATATCTTTATTACATAAAACACGATGTTTTTACCTAAGAACATACGATAATCTTTCAACAGACAACGCTGTGAATAGTTAGTCATAGACGTTTCAGATGTCACTCATGATTTTGTCGAAAAGTATGAAAATTATCTTTTCGAACGAACATTGATCAGTATGTGCACAGGGAGACCTTCATTAGAACCCATGATTTTACCATCTCCTGACATCTGCCACTTCTTGTTGATGAGCTATGTTCGCAAGAAGAAAAAAATTCTGAAAGAGTTTTAAGTTTCATTATATGTCCAGACTAGGTCCCATAACAATGCATCATGATTGACAATAGGTTCTGTGATGTATGAACTACAATGTATATTTTAGAACTATTATTGCACAATGTATATCAGAATTCCAGACGTCAACAAGAAAGAAAAAAAGAGGTGATAAATGTTACCTTGTTACAGATGTCAGATGAGATCTTGAGTCAGCATATGACTGGAAACAGTGGTAGAACGTTCTAGTAAACATCATTCATAACAGTCAGGTTTCTTTAACATGCAGGTATGAATGCAAGTATATATCTGGCCACTTTATCATTTACTGATGATGACATTTCTGATAACGTCAGTCAACATCAAAGGAAAGACACACATGTGTATAGAGCATCTCAAAAACCAATCCAGGATTAGTTATACTCTAGCCAAATAAGGAATTAAACTGCGTCCGCTGCTTCACCCATCAGTGATCCCGGGGACTAGAAGCGCTGACACCTAGGATAATTACAATTGGGCGAATTGAATGTTAAATGTGATAATAGGATGTGCTCTAATACTAAAATTCAATAAATTTTATACTTCTTTAATGATTAAAGACGGTTTTGTATATTTGTGGTCTATTTTGAATAATTTCTATAATAACAATAAAAAAATCGACATGGGTACGGAACAATAATCCAAATTCATATTCAATAAAACTTGGGCAAAATATTAACATTAAGATTAACTCGGAGACTGAAAAAGCTCAAGCAGAATAAGACCCGATGTGTGGGAAGGGTAGGTGTCTTCTACTTCATCGACGACACCTGTCATTTAAATCTTGGTCAATCCAAATCATTAGTGTAATGTTTCCAAATGAAATGAGATCGAGGTTAACAACAATAGAACCACGAAGCAAACCAATGAGCATCAAGCACATCCAGTCTCAAATCGCAAAAAGAAATATTTCTCAGTGAAATAATTATGACGACCGTAACACGTCTCTGTATTCTTCATCAACCTGTCGTTACTTCCCTTTTTTCTGACTTACAATTGTTATTATTTGTCCTCAGCGCAGCTTTAGTGAAATCTTGAACTCAGTATTTTAGCAGACGCCTTGTTGTACCTAATTATTTTTTCATATGACATTTCTCTGATGTGGCCCCATTTACTGGTAAATAAAACAGTGTCTTGTTTCGTTTTGGATCGCATGGAGAAGGTGAAGTAACCACATGAAATATCACATGTTTTATTTCAAAAA